TTTTACCGGGAGAATTGTACATATTTATCTGGTACTCTTTCAAATATTCATGTAAGTCTTAATGAAAAATAACTATATAATTTTTTAAAGAATTATTCGCTTTGCTTCGGTTTGAAAATAAATTATTCAAGCGTTGAGTCAATCTGAACTCAAAGAAACACCAATGTTAATAGACGATGGCATGTGTCAACATTACCCGCGAACACGCAATGGAATGGGACGTCGGAATGTGCCAACAAAACAGTATTTATTTCATAGAAAACAATTTAAAGTGGAAAACTTGAGGTCATCCAATAAGGTCAAAATGGAAATGTTCAAATCTTTGTTTGACTGAGCCTGTTGATGGACGGTAGCTGTGAATGCATGTTGTGGGGCATGTCCCTTGTAGAGGAATGCAATAATTACATAATAAAATGTTGTAATTTAAAATAACGTTTGCAGATACGATCATACGCTGTGGTTTTGAAATATTCAATTTGAGAATATAAAGTTATTTCGTGCAAAGCGGCGTACTCTCACCAAGTTAAAGAATACGCAGAAGACTCCTTTAAAAACATTATTGATGGACTAATTGAGTCAGAGTATTGATATCCGTTTAAGAATATCTTCTCGTTTAAGCCATATTGTACCGTTTAAGACAAATGTTAGGGGGCATGAGGGATGTTGCACTTTTTCATTATCCCTAATGTACAGAATCAAATCGAGTCTGTAATTTTCATGTAATTCTGTTGTAATTGATACTTCTGAGGGATCACTTTTTCCAGATTTTCTTCACTTTCGTTTAAGACATATCTTTCTTTTTAAAAATCTTTTCCTAGTTTAGACATATCTAACCGTTAAAGACATATCTCTCAGGTTAACGTAGATTCTGTTACAATTTACTCCCCGCTACCACCATTGCAAACGCTTCGTTCCAATTTCGAGATCATTTGACAGACAGACAAATAACGCTTCATTTTATGATTTTATCAAGATATATCTTTCTATATAGACATATTCAAGTCTGAGATTTTGTTCAATCTCAAAAAAATCAACAATAATGATAAGTTATTGAGATGATCTGATACCCGAGCAAGCATGGTTGTCTCCTTATTTGATTTCTTATCATACCTTTTATACCAAATGTTTCATGCTTTTCTAATTCAAATATACGAGTGTATGTCATACTTTATCTCATAGTAGGAAGCCATACATCATTAGGTAAGTTATCTGTGTAAAGAAATTATTCAAACAATCAAATCTTAAGTGTAAAGAAATATGAAAAAAACAAGATCAACAAGGAACGACGGCATTCAACGAAGCATCATCCAACACAGGTCCACCGGCAGGGCAGGCCAAAAGGGCAAAATGTCAAAGTGTTATAGCCCTCTTATCATACCCATGGTCGTAGTTAGGGGCAAAGTTTTCTTAAATCATTAAGGGGGATACTTAAAGCCGGTTCGAAATGGCAGCAATCGACCACAATAGAAAGCAGTACCCATGGATTCCGACGATAAACACAGATGTAAAAACGCCGTTACTCTGTCAATATATATTGTTTCTGGTAACAGAAAACGAGCGTTGGGGACAACATATCTATCATATTCATCTCGTAAAATGATAATGTCATCACACGCGGGGTCAATGAACTGCAATTTTATAGCCGCAATTTTACCATTAAGGTATGAGCCACCTAATGGGCACTATAAGGAACTATAAAATTGACAACATCAGTTATATACCTTAAAAGCCACAATAATGCAAAATTTAAACAAAGTTTACCGTATGGTTTACAAGCTATGGAGATTTTTCTAAAGTAAAACTTGGCTATTAGAAGTGATCTTTTTCAGAAATGGGAAACTCTAATTATTCTATTATATAATCATTATGAACTAATGTTTTCCTATAGAATTTTTTTTAAGAAACAAATAATAGCATTCAGCTAACAAATGACCCAGCAAAATTATGTTTCTACTCAAAATGTTTGAAATATGTATATAAATGTTACCCAACCCCACCCATTTTAAGTAGTTGTTTGATCATTTTTCTACTTGGAGGGCCTTATTCAAAATATCCCTAAAATTTACTCAAATCAGGGGCTGTTTTCAAAGTTTGCATAAATTTTCTTAAAGGTATATAGGTTGCGCTTGTCAAATATAAAATACTTTTACCGTCTAGCGCTTTTGCCATATAAAAAGACATGTTCTGAAACAAGATTTCAAAGTATTTTGTTGTCAGAAGAAACGAAGGGTTTACCAGCCAGGCACTGTATGAAGACATGACCAGAAACATGACATTTTATTCCAACCTGAGAGGTCATCAAACTTGTGGAAATGTAAGTCTTTTGAGGTGTTTTCTTATATTATGACACGTTCTGCGCAAAAGGTCACGTGATATAGATTTTTTCACATTGACCTACATGTATTTCAATATTAGTATGTTTATAACATATGAGATATGAGCTGAATGTAGTCATGGAATCAATCGAGATAACATTTCCATTTTAGACATAGATGCAAACAATACTATTTTTTCCGTATATGGAAGTAATTTATCTCACTTTTTACATAGATGGAAATTGCGACATTTTTATGCATATATGGAAAACGTCTAGATCTTATTATTCATCCACATCTGTTAAGAATATACTTATTAAGTGTGTAACATAGATGGAAATAGTTTATCTCGTTTTCTATCATAATGTTAGGCACAGTCCGGTTAGTTCAGTAGGTAGGGCGTTAGACTGTGAATCGGGCAGTCTGGGTTCGATTCCCAAACGGTGCAAGTCACTTTCGTTGTGATTGTTAATGAAATATTTTCTTTTGTCATTCGCACTCTTCCTCTGCTCTGGCATGTACATAGTTATCAGTTGCTTGCGAAAGTGAAGGCAACTAGTACTAGTAAACTGCTTGACAGCCTGTCCAGGAACGAGGCGGTGGCTAGGCTGTGTTCTGGTAAATCTAGTTAGGCTTATTGCCGTGATCCAAAGTGAAAACTACCACCACGGATAAAGATTGCAATGTAATAGACAAACATGAAGCTTGGCGACTGCGGCTTTGCGCAAAAACATACATTTGTTATATTTGAAACCGGCTTAATTTGAGACATGTCGAACAATACTGCAATAATTTTAAAACAATAATAACGCTGTGTCACAATGCACTTTATTTGCTATTTATATATGTCAACATTGTAAAAGATTAATTACAGTTTAGATAATGTGAAACAATCTTTGCCTTATTCTAAATAGGCATTTTATTGTAAACATTACATTGTGTATTGCGTAAATTAGCATTATTCTGGGTAAAATGATAGTAAAGTATAATTTGCCATAATTATTAACATTTGTTTTATATCTGATTTAGGTATACGTTTTCCGAGTGAACTAATTACAAACTTAGAGATTTTGTTTGTGTGCGATACTTGTATTTTAACCAAACGTGTATGCATACGTCTCATGCCCTTGTCCAACAAAACTATCATTTATCATTTTAAGGTAAATTTTCATAAAAGGAACTGACTGAATAGTGAACAGTGCAGACCATGGTATGACGACACAGATGTTCAAGTTGATCTTGGTCTGCACTGGTAATTTGAGAATCCGCAGACTAAAGTTTAAAGAAAGTTACTTGTCGAGAACAAACTTCAGCACGATCCTTTTAGGACAAAAATGTGTCTCCAGTTAAAGCTCTAATAGTGTTTTGAAAACAATACGTAAAAGAATTGCTCTTATTTTTCCACTGAAAAAAATATACAGGAAATACCAAGCTAAACAATAGTTCCAAATAAATTTAGTTATGATTTCCTGTATAGAAAGCGCTTAGAAAATGTCGACGTGATTCAGCTTTTACCGGCTTACATTTTCAACTTTATCAAATAAGCAGCCGACATTTTGAAATATTCATGACTGTAGAAAGGCTCAAAGTGTAAACAGTAGATTTACATCTTCTAACATCTGCGTACAGTAGCGGAGCAATTCATACAATAGTAACCCTGCGAAGTGATGCTTTTATACTTATTTTCATTTGTCGCGTTGCGGCGAACGAACAATGATGACTTTTTTAAGAAAAGCACTTTCTAAGTACGAATTGATATATTAAGCTAATATAAACCGAGGAAGAAAGTTTTTTTATTGATTTCTTCACAAATGAAGGAAATGGATTGTGTCAGATGAATTTCCTTCAAATTAAATTGCAAGGCGACAAAAAAAACCATATCAATTACATGTAGATCTGGATAAAATTGGTATGCAATATCTCATTCAAAACTAGAAAAATGCACACACGTGATTTCAAGACAATCCTGGTTTAAAAGCCCAATTGAAACTAAAGACATTTAAAATCGGATCAACAAATATTAAGCGTATAGATTACATAACATATTTTTTTCAAAGCTATTTGAACTACAAACCTTACGAAGAGGTGAAAAAATACAATAAATCTGTTACGAATTAACAATTTTTTACAAGATTATTTGAAATATAAATTATTTGCATTGGAAATAACCGACCCTTGACAAAGTCGGTTAGCCTTTATCTTTGTTGTTGGTCTATCTGCCGGATATGTCGTCTTAAATTTGATAAGAGGTATTCCTGCGCACAAAGCTTTGATTGGCTTATTAATTAGTATATAGGGATTTTAAAGATGCAAATACCTGCCTCTTTATAGACGGGGATTAAAGAAAAGTTGCCTTTTAAAAAAACTGTAAGGAAATTAACATCAAATCGTCATCTGACGTTCTAAGCTTTAATTTACTATAACCGTCTCACATAAAAAAGATGTTTATGATGTAAAAAATAACAATGTTTTTTAAATGTTAGCAACAAAATTATTATCAAAGAGAGTGAATAATGCTTGATGATAATTTGCAAAAATTAAATTAAATTAATTAATTAATTAATTACAAAGAAAACGAAACAAAAACAAAACAAAAGCACACATATAAAACCCTAAAAATGCAACAACAACAACAACAACAACAAAGGATTACAGCAAGACATATGGTAAGCGAAACAAACTTACATATCTACATGTATTTGCCGTTTGTGTCCCCCGCAATGTTTTTTTTTTTCAGATGGAAATTGCAAATTCCACTGTAATCCAAGGAATAACAATTTAAAAAAAATGGAGTTGATTTTAGCACTTTCCACTAAGAAAACGTCGTCCTTAACGCGACTTTGAACGTTTACATTACGCTTAACGTGTGAAGAAGTAACGTCTATTTTGTACATGGAATGTGTTATGTAATTAATGAAAACGTTTTCCCATTTAGCTGCATTTGTCATCGGTTATACTGTCATGGCAGGAAGATTTCAGAAATGCACGAAACGGAAAAAAAGTTTATACGTTAAATGCGTTAACGTTGTATAAAATAAAAAAGCGCAACACCAATCTCGCTTCTTATCATATTCACTATTAAAAACTTAACTTCAGATTAGAAGAAAATAAAAGGTTATCCTTTCAAACAGATTAACAGTTTGTATACAACTTCTCAAATTAAATTTCCATTTTTCCGTCCATTTTATTTTTTTTATAAAAAAAAAATAATAATAAAAGAAATATCCAAGTAGACGAAAAAGACAAAAGTAAGCCGCCTAACAAATCGGTCTGCAATATACATGAGTATCTTTAAATTTATCTGCAGGGTCTCGCATGTTTGAATTACTCGTTTTATTGTTTTTAATCAATTAAACAGAAACGAACAAATCAACTTTGATACGTTATCAATTTATTGTTTGTAGATTAAACCCAAAGAGATCATAATTTACTAAAATATATCATAATTAACCGAAAGATATCATTACGATATTGATCTTATTGAATAGAATTGTCTATTATGTGTATCGAAATACTAGGTTATTAAATGCATTACAACGGCTATTCAACGTATATAGACGTAACCACAAACATTTTGGAAATGTAAACAAAAATCACAATGCCAAATATATGTAACTATCATTTTACTTCGTTTTAAAAGATCTGACAATTTGAATTTAAAAGTATTGATCTGAGATGCGGTTTTAAAATTCCGGCATTTGCATGACCTAAAAAAAGTATGACATTACATGACCTTTGACCTGACCTGATTAACCCAAATGAATTTAATATGAGTTAGATGTCTGTGGCCTTTTATTTATGACCTGGCAGGTGCCATATAATGAAATAAAAGTAGGTCAACTTAAAAGTCGTCTGTCAACGAATTAAATGTAACCGCACGAAATCTAAAAAGAATTCTGCGGACGAATTTCTAACTGTCATATAAGGAATATTATCCTTGGCAAAGGTTACTTAATTTAGTAGCTGATTATTTCACCAGTTGACGTACTGCCAGAACTTACGGATACATTGTATATGAAGTCTTCGGATATTATCTGAGAATAAGGTTCAGACTTAACGGTAGCTGGCCATTGTATCTGTCAATGGCAAAAATACCAAGTTATCTTTGAGTCATATATCTTTATTGCATAAATTAATAGAAATCTATAAAATTCTTACTAAATATGTCTTTCTTTAATAAAAGAAGGTAACAATTATGTATGGGAATCTGCGTTCCTTATTAAGGGTCAAGTCAAGCTGGTGTTTTCATGACACTATGTATTCATAGCGTGTCCACTTACAGTGTGTAGGATTTAAAGCATAACATATCTACTGCGTGTGAAGTCAAAACATGCTTGTTTTATATTTACAAAAAAAGACTGTGTAGCAATAATCAATATTTTTTAAAATATTAATATTGAGTATAATATATCTTTATACCATCGTTTCATCGTTTTAGCAACTCACTGCATGCAAAGAGTCGAATGTTTACTGCATGTTTTGTACTAAAGGTTTCACAACTCAGTGTAACAAAGCTTCTGGTCAATTTCGGAAATGAAAGATTTCTTTAGGCCCATTTAAATAAGTAAGTCATAATAAAAATTCGAAATATTTTGCTTTACAGCTAAAATAGTCCATGAAAGGTCTGGATTTAATCCAACGAAAATTGAATCAAAATGTCTACATTTTTGCATAATTATCACGTCATATTTAAAGTATGTAATTGATAAAAATCAGCAGATTTTAATCTGAAAGGACCGCTAACAGTCTGGTGATTTATGTGCTACATGCAACTGTGCACCGTTCCAAATGTTTTGAAGATTTTTGAATGGAGGGAAGAATCCATATTTAATCATGATGGAATCAGATTTTTTTTTAATTTGATCACAAAAATGTGCATTTATAAAATTATGACAATCAAAATGAATTTGCAGGATATGCATTGTCTTGTAGATCCATATGTACAATGTTTGTATTTAAAAGGAAAAAAAACATGTACGAACGTTTTATCGCTTAAACATGTTTCCCGCCATTTTTACATAAACTCGTACTATTACCTAATTAGCATATTTTAGTTGATAATTTAAGGTTATCCATATGAACAAATTCACAAGAGGCTCACGGGTTTCATTTACAACCTTTGTGGCCACGAGGCATGAAATTGGTGGCATAGTTTAGAATCATTTATCCGATTTTGTTAATAGGTCGGTAACTATTCATCAAGTTCAAATTAATTTGTAATGTAACCTGTCTTAACATCGTGATGATTTAATTCTTTATTGACTTCAAACTTGATCAATGTCAAAGTTGTAGCACTCTATATAGGTATTTATTGAATTAACACTGACTTCGGACATAAAATAACCTATATACATTATTCATTGTTTTGTTTAACACTAGTATACAAACAAAGTGTATATAAGAGGGCCAACTTGTAGAAATAAATTACAGCTTTACTCGGATGTTTAAATTGGTACACTATTTGTCTTTTATCTTATTATTGTACCTAAATTGAAAGAATATGTTACGTAATGTTTGCACTTAAAGTGGTTCGTACATATATAAATCATTTCTGAAAGTCCTAAAATAGTAGTTTAATAGTATTTACATATAGACAATTTAAACAGAAAACTCTCTCGAGAGGTGACCTTGAATGTTCCATCATGAACACATCTGCGAAAGTTTCTAAATTGTAAATTTCACTATTGTAATGTATAAATACTGAAGACTGCTTTAAGCCTTAAGCCGGTGTTAGAGGAGTGGCGGTGCAGGGGTGAGGGGGATGCGTGAACGTTGTGAATTAACCACTATCGTCATTGATTACTACAGCGTTTCAAATTTTGCCGTTTTCAATGTTCTTTCGGGACTCTGATACTTTTTTTTACTTTTGAAGAGTAAGATAACAAATGATTTTACAGTTTGCAAAAATTATTACAATGACAAATATGCGTGCTAAACTGATTTGTTTTATAAAACATGTAAATAGATATTATGACAATAAATTGTTAATGAACCTTTTTTCGAGAATTAACGTCTAAAGAAGTATGAGGACGCATTAAAAACCCCATATTTATCTGTCATGACAGTCTTCGGACGAACAGCGGGACGGACGGACGGGCCGAAAAGGGCAAATTTATATGCAGACACCAACCCCGCCCCTCCCCTTCTACGTAAAGTCACGGTGACTTAAAAAGATCAGTTATTTGCTTTAAGTACACAGTTTTATTACAGAATATATGATTTATTGATAAAATGAAATATTTAAGATAACAATAAGATATTGGAAACACTGAAATGACATGGGATCATTTTAAGCTGACTTGGCAATTTTGAAATTGGTAAATTCATAACTTATTTACAAATGATGTGACTTTCACCTAGATGTGAATGAAGATTTAGATAACCTCAAAACAGTGTTAACTTGACACGACATAAGCGTAAAAATTGCTTATAATTAATATCAGGAAAAGAATATAAAAACGCATTCATGAGAAAAAAAATGAAGAAAAATGAAGAAAATATGTAATTTTATCAAACGTATAAGCATACATCAAATCCGAATGTCAGACTTTAACACAGGTTCGCCCTCGATTTCCGTCAAAATTATATGTTTTATTATATATTATAACACCTGTACAATAAATAATAACATACTATAACCTCTTGATGATAAGTAGATCATCGTAGTACATGTATACATATACTTACTAAATAAATGACTTCCGTTTCTAGAGACGCTTAATATGCATTTATGTTTCATAACGTTGTATGTATATACATATGAGCCGCGTCACGACAAAACCAACATAATGCGTTTGCGACCAGCATGGATCCAGACCAGCCTGCGCATCCGCGCAGTCTGATCAGGATCCATGCTGTTCGCTTACAGACCCTATTACAAGTAAAGAAACTGATAGCGAACAGAATGGATCCTGATCTGGATCCATGCTGGTCGCAAACCCATTATGTTGGTTGTGTCGTGACTCGGCTTCATCGTAATTAAATGTGTTGCAGTGAAAGATCGCCTAAAATTTGTGACAGCTTGCCTTAAAGATACAACAATGTATTTTAAATTAAGCGACATTTCGAGCTTAAGTTTCTATTTTTAAACAGTTCTTCTTCCAGAGTTACAACTCGCCTTTAAGGTTCTAACTTCAAACTTACGGAAAGCTCGCGAGTCTAATTCCAAATTTAGTGACAGCTCATGGGTCTGTCTTCAAACTTATGGACAGCTCAAAACTTATTGACAGCTCATGAGTCTATCTCCAAACTTAGAATAGCTTTCCGTTAAGATCTTGTCTTCAAAGTTTGGGACAACTCGACCTTAAAACACTATATTTTTTCATAATTTCGGACAGCTTGTCCTTAAGACTCCATTTTATAACTTAGCGACAAATTATTATTGACGGTTCGCCTTAAAGATTTTATCATCAAACTTTCTAACAGCTCAAACATCAAAGCCTCTTCCTCCAAACCTACGGACGCTCAATTTAAAGTTTTAGTCGGATACATAGACCTGAATATTGGTAAAACACAAATGCACAATAATAAAAATAAACTCATTGAATAATTGAATAATGACGCTTTTTTGCATATATTCAGTACTCGGTAAGATTTTAAATAGTGTCACAGGTCTTTTACTATAACGCAAAATCAACTGCTATAATTTTTTTCCGTCTCTTTTTTTCCTTCAGAAGTAAACACAATGTGTAAATCACAAACTGAGAATAATACCCCCAAAATGTACATATTTTGGATGTAAGCACCATGTTGAATACCCAAGAGTGCACAAATTATTATGATTTATATTCATATGCGATAATTTAACAAGGATATTATTAAATTTACAGCGTTAACATATCGGCCATTAGGTCAACTATCGGGCACAATTGTTATGATATATATTATAGAAAATAATCTTTGTAAATTAATTTACATATAATATATAATAGTACATTCCTTGTTTATGGAAAAAAACAAGAAAGTACTTAGAAAAAAAAAAGAATATATTATAATCCCTTAACTTTTATTTCTCCAACGGGTCTGGTTAGCTTCAAAAGGAACATACCAAAGAAGAAAAAGCAAATAACA